CAGGGTGTAGAGCATCTTCAGGCATTTACAGTTGGTTGATAATTGTGGTTCCATAGTTGGCAGTGCTGAAGGCTCTGGTTGGCAGGAGGCCATAGCCTGAAATGACAGAAGTATGCTTAGGACCACTCCAAACAGGGATGGGAATTCTGTCTTTATGCCAAGCCACAAATTCATCTTACAAGTTTTTAGCTTTTAATTCTATGATCGGGGTGTGTGTGTGTAGGCACAGGAAAATTGGGCAGAAACAGGGCCTTTTACAAAGTCCTGGGCCCTTCCTGAGGCAAGGGCTTGTTAGCAGCTGTCAGCCTGTGTAGCCATGGGGTCATACTCAAATGACCTTCATCAGCAAGGCGACCTCCCAGTCAACCTAACAGCACATCTCTGTAATTAATCCCAGCTCAGTCTGGAGGCCAAGGCAGGAGGAACATGTGTTTGAAGCCAGCAAGGCCCTGACAAAACAAAAAAGAAAGACTCAACCATTTTCTTCCGTTAAATTATAGAAATTTACTATTTTGGAATCTAGTGGGCCAGCCTTGTGTGTGCTGGCATGTGCATCCTATATTTTACCATGTATGCAATATATATATATATATATATATATATATATATATATATATGTTTTCAGATAAAATGCTATGGCCACATTGTCTCCCACCTGCTTTTGAGATACAATACCATTAACTGTTTTCCACAGACACTTTCTTACAGACTATTTTTAACTAATTTTTATTTTGGAATTTTCAAGCTTTCAGAAATGATGAAGATTCATAAACATAATGGCTATATTGTTTATATCTATTTGTAATGGATGGAGTTTAAATTTTTTACACACATACACTGACAGACAGACAGACACAACACACACACACACACACACACACACACACACACACACACGTCTCAGCACATACATACGTTTCTCTGAAATGAAATGTTTGAATGGATTGATTGATTGGGTCCCACTATATAACCCAGGCTGGCCTCAAATGTGATACCCTCCTACTTTTGCTTTCCCTATGCTGGGATTACTGGTATGGGTCACTGTCTGTTACTTTTCTATTTCTGTGAAATCATGACCATGTCAACTTATAAAATAAAGTATTTAATTGGGATCATGGTGGCAGACATGGTGCTAGAGAACTGACTAAAAGCTGATCTACACCTCCTCCAACAAGGTCATACCTAATCCTTCTCAAGTTCCACCAACTGGGGACCAAGCATTCAAACATATGGTCCTATTAGGGACTCATTGAAACCACCCCAGTCACCATGCCTGGCCACTCCTGGACCATTTGAAAGTAAAGGTGGATGTTGCACTTTGGGTAGACCCCCAAATCCTTGCCTGCCATTTCCTCAAGGCCCTATATTGTTTTCTCTTCATGAGAGAGTGCTGCCCATTGAGCTGTGAGCAGAGTAATTCCTTATTGGAGACATTTATCTGCCTTTATTTATCATTTTATTTATTTATTTATAATATATATATTTAAAGCCCAAGTGTCACATAACCCTGCCTAGCCTCCAATGTGCTATGTAGCCGAGGATGACCTTGAACTCTTTGATAGTCTTGGCTCCACTTCCTATGTTTCAGGACTACAGGTGTGCACCACCGTGCCTGTCTAATGCTTTGATGAACAGTGCCCCTTGACAACTCCCTGTGCTCAGTCTCTTAAGTTCATGGACACACAGATGCTCTTGTCCTCTCAGGCAGCTCCAAGTTCAACTCTGGACTTTACTTCTCTAGGGGAGACACCCCTGCCAGACAGTGAGGAGAGTACCCCCACCAGCCCTAAGGCTCAGGAAGAGCCACCCATGGAAGAAACACAGCAGAAGATGGAATTGTTTGTGAAGGAAAGCTTTGAGGCCAAAGATGAACTATTCCCAGAGAAGCCAAGCGAAGAAGAGGAGCCGACTATGGTGGTGAATGGGACAGTGGAAGATCTAGACCTGTCTGGGGGTCTGGCTCAGACCCAGACACCACTGATGGCCACTCCTGAAGGTAAGGCAGCTAAGATGATAGGCAGCCTCTGACCCTGCACACAGCTATGGCCTCTACCCTGCACACAGCTATGGCCTCTGACCCTGAATCCACTGTTTTGCTTCTTTAAAATATAGTTCATGGTTTTGTTTTGTTTTGTTTTTTTGTCTTTTTTTTTCGAGACAGGGTTTCTCTGTGTAGCTTTGGAGGCTATCCTGGCACTAGCTCTGGAGACCAGGCGGGCCTTGAACTCACAGAGATCCAGCTGCCTCTGCCTCCCAAGTGCTGGGATTAAAGGCATGTGCCACCAACGTCCGGCTAATATATAGTTCATGGTAAATCTCATTTCCTAAATGAGTGAACCCTTGAACACGCGCACACACACACACACACACACACACACACACACACACACACACACACACACACACAGAGAGAGAGAGAGAGAGAGAGAGAGAGAGAGAGAGAGAGAGAGAGAGAGAGAGAGAGAGCACACAGCACATATGGCATATTAAAACCATATAAGCAACAGGGAAAGCTATTAGCAGATTATTTTACTTAATCCAGTGGGTCATCTGGAATCAACAGAAAGGTGATGTTTTACACTGGGTTTTGGGTGGAGCTGTCACAGGCAGGTGTGTGTTTGAAAACTCACTGCATAAAGGGGAACAGTGCTAGCAAACAAGCAACACAGACAGCATCGGCTCACGACCCAGGGAGTTGGCTTCCATTATAAATGTTAGACTCATTAAAAATGTAGAACAGGGAAACAGAGAGCTTTTTCTAGGGAGACAGGTAGATCCCTGGAACTCACTGGCCAACCAACCTGGTTTTATCCATGAGCCCCAGGTCCAGGAGAGAGATCCTGTTCTAGCTTGCTTTTTGTTGCTGTGATAAAACATTCTTTAACAAAAATGAATAGAGAAGGGAAGGGTTGCTCTGGCCTACACTTCCAGGCCATAGAGCATCACTGAAGGATGTCAAGACAAGAACTCAGGTGGGAACAATAGAGGAACACTGTTACAGGCTCCCTCTCTGGCTCATGCTCAACTAGCTTTCTTATACAGCTCAGGACCACTGGCTGTGGGAACAGTACTTTGCATAGTGGGCTGGACCCTCCTATACCAGTTAGAAATCAAGATAGCCTCACAGTCATGCCCACAGGCCAGTCTGATCCAGACTGTCCTTCACTGCAGGCTTTCTTCTCTGGTGACTCTCCAGGATTTCTACTGTTAGGTAACCCCAGACTTCCCCAGGATGCCACAGGGGGCCATCAGAGCCCCCAACCTGACAGGGTGTGTGGTCTGACCCAGGAAGCAGGCCCTGATGCATGGAGAATCCTGGGAGTGCTGCTGTTCTCATAGGGGTCTGAAAAGGGTTAGGTGCCAGAGCTTCGGGAATTACCTTGCAAGTGAAGGGCCCAGGCAGGGCAGAACCTTATTTCCCGCAATCCACCCAGCAGGACCTTATTTCCCTCTCTTGAATCCATGCTGCCAACACCCAAAGGTTTGAATTAAGAACAGCCACCCATCTTTGTTCTTCAACCTCTTTAAAAAGCTCCTCATATCCAAGACCTTTATAGGACATGCGGGCTTGGTGGGAGTAGAGGCAGGAGTATCCCTGGCCTGCTCCCAGGATCTTAGGGTCAGTGGTTCCAGTGTGGGGGCTCAGATATCGCAGGCTCACGAGAGGCAGGAAAGGCAGGATAGAGAGCAGAGGTACAGGGAGGAGGTGTTTAAAGGCAATCTAGAGAGGAGTGTGAAGCAGGGAGCTCAGATACCATACTGTGTTTGCATCAAGGGAGGCAGGAAATACAGGACTGGGGGTGGGGAGAAGAATATAAATGACTCTCCAGAGGGAAGAGGGAAGCAGGGGCTTCGGCAGAGCCACGACCACCAAGAGGAACCCGCTCTTGGTGCCTGCCATGCTCATCAGGTGTGCTTATGGCTCTCTTGGGTTTGATGGGACTCTGTGCCAGAATGTCTGGGGACATGCCTTACTTTGGTTATCGCTTATGTAACAAGGGAAAGCTGCTGTCTCTAGCTCAGAGTAGGATTGTCAGTCCCGTGACCTGCCTGTTCTGAGCTTCTGGGAAAATGTTTGTTTAGCGAGGGTCTTGCTTGCCCTGTGGCTTTCCACACATGGGTGTGCTGTGGCTGGTATTTGAAGCTAAGGGGCATCTGGGATTAGCATGTGGGGCTGTGCCAACATCTCAACTAGAAATGTCACACACAGATCTGTAGGTCAGGATGGACTTCCTGGCTTAGCCATTCCTGTCCTGTCCCCTGATGCCTAGCCCAGCTGGAGGTGACAGTGAGTGAACCGACCACACAAGGCCAGGGCTTAGGAACTTGGCAAGGAGGGCCTGGCAGAGGAGGACCCATAGTGTTTCTGCCTCTCCAGGCAGCCTTGCTGTGTTAAATGGCACAGGTCCCTGGCTCTGGAGAGTAGGTGGCCATGTATTTGATGAACAGGCAGTGTAGGCTGGCAGAGAGGCCTCTACCAGGGCTGAGCTGCAAGATTGGCCTCTCCCAGCTTTGGAACCCATTGTTCTCCTGACCACATCCCTTTCTTGCTGGGCAGTCGGCTGTCTACTCTTGGCTCGGCTGCTTCTGCAGACTCACCTCCTGCCACAGCAGGGCCAGCTCTTCCTGTCTTTCCTCACCTGGGGTGGGAGCAGCTCTGAGGACTCTTAACACCTTCTGTCATGGTGGTTGTCCAACCACACCCAGGAAGATCTGCCCGTCCACCTTAACCTCTAGCTTGTCATGCCAGCCTTCGTATCTGAAATCAGTGCCAGGGTCAGTAACTTCTCACTTGTTTCTCAGAGCCCACATCCCTAATGGCAGCTACTGATGGAGCCAGAACTGAAGATACAGAGGCCATTGCCCAGGAGACCAAGGAGAGGCTTTTCATCGATGTGAGCAGGGGGCTGGTTAGGTTGAGGGTGGGGTGATACCCTTTTGGTCCTCACTGTCTATCAGGAGTTCTCCAGGGAGCAGATACAGTACAGCCATCCAGGCATACCTCCAATCCACCCTGCTCATATTCAGGTTTGGAGGGCTGGTCCATTTTCCTCTCCAGACTCTGAAAGCCACACTAGAGTTTCCAGGGACATTATAGAAATCATACATTATCACATTGCCCCATGAACTACAATTCAGTGGAACAATAGTTCAGGGAGCATGCAAACCCATGTGAGCTGGGGCTCACTCTGCCTGCTTAAGGCCTAAGCTTTGCATTCAAGAACTGACCATACAGACACAGTGAGGCACGGTTATGTACTAAGTGTTCTGAGATATGTAGTAGTATCATCCCAATATTATGGCGTAGGAACTGGAGAAACAGAGCAGTTAAGCAATTTTCCCAAGACCGCACATCTAGGAGATGGTGGTGTGGTTTTCTGGAGGTACTTGAGGCTCAGACCAATGTATAAGAGGTACATTTTGAGTTTGGGTTCCCATGACACAACAAAGTGAAGAATCTGTGACAAACTTCCCTTTGGTTAGATGGCTAGACCTGAAGTGGCAGTGTGACTTTTGAGCATGCCAAGGGCATGGGTGGGAGTTACTGAGAGGCTTTGGTGATGGTTCCCTTAGGACATCTTGACTCCTGATGATACTTTCTTCCATTGTGTCTCTGGGTAATATGTGGCCACTGGCTCTTCCAGGACCTGCCTGACTTGGAAGATGTTGATGGCATTGACATGTCTATGGAAAACCAGATAAAGGTCAGCACCCTTTTCTCTATACCCCAGAATGGCCTCAAATTGTGGCAGCCTTCCACGTGCCTCGGCCTCCCAAGTACTGGGATCACAGGCATGTACCATGCCTAGCTCCTTTGGTTGATTTTGATACAGGGTCTTAAGGTGCAGCCTATGGCTGGTCTGGAACTCGTTGTAGACCAGGCAGGCCTTGAACTCACAGAGATTCACTTGTCTCTACCCTCTGAGTGCTGGGCTTACAGGAGTACACCACCATGCCTGTTCCTTAGAGGCCATTTCCTTCTCATAAAAGTGAACTGTTCTTCTGAGCAGAGTGGCCATGTTTCCACCTCACTGAGGAAACAGCCGCTCTCTGACCCTCTGAGAGCTTATTTCAGCCACGTGGGCTTTCTGCTGCATGTTTTATTGGGGGTGTTCAGCCTTATTCTGTGTTCCTATGCAAACCTCCCAAACTCATCTACTGAAGCTATACCTAGAGGGAAGGGGCACATGGGTAAGGCACCCGACTCCTCCCTGGGCATAACTTGGAGCCAGCAAGCAACTGTGTCAGGTCCTGTCCCTAGAAGAGGCTTGGAGGGAACCTCTGCATGAGGTCTCACATCCACACAGGCACACAGGCCACCAGCTATGGGGACTGAGGTCCAGGAACAAAGTCCTGAGGAGTTGCTGGGCTGTGGGGTGTGGCAGAGGCTAGAATCCAGACATTGGTAGGGTGTGGTATAGGGGAGCTATGTGGATGGGAAGTAAAGCATGGAGAAACTGCTGAAGTGTCCATTCAGAGGCGCTGTCCCAGCCTGCTTTCTCCCTAGCCTGCACATGCTTTCCTGTATTATGATCATGGGAAAACCAGACACAGCTCACATTCTCTCTCCAGGAAACAGGTATTCCGAAAATCCAGGTTGTTTCCAGCTTGAGTGATGACAGTGACCTTGAACTGGATGACTCATCCCTCCACACGCTTGAGCACACTTCCATAGGATCCACAGGTGCCCTCTCACACATATTTGCAGTCTCCAAGGACCACTCAAAGGCAGCCAGGGTGCCTTTCTCAGACATATGTAAGCCAACAGCAACAACAGAATTGGAAACCCACAGTCAAGTCTCCAGCACCACCTCTCCACGACCCCTCATCCAGGAGCTGGAAGAGGAGGAGCAGGGAGAGAATGAATCAAACCAGTTACTGCCACTCCAAACATGTGCAAGTGACCAGGCACTTGCCCAGTCTAATGAAGATGAAGACAGTGAGCTTCCTGAAGCCACCCCACTAGGTAACACTCCAGAGGCTATTGTAGGGAGGTCAACCAGAGAGGGGTTAGCAGACGGGGGTATCTGCCCCATTCATAGGTAACCATTTGGCTGTGGTGTGTCACCTGGCCCTATGGTTCCAGGTCAGAGGCTCTGAAGGAGGGAGGGGACCACAGAAACTAAGGCTGAGTGGAGAGCTCTGGTGTTAGTGAAGGCATGGTAGCTTAAATCACGCACCTGGTGCTGTGTGCAGGCATGCAGGGCAGTTTGGGCAGCTAGTGGGTACAAAGATGATTAGCCCAGGGTTGGATGTGTGAGCACTCATTTTAGGTGAGTACTCACTTTTGGGGTGGCTTATATTCCCCATGTTCCTCTTGCCTAACAGAAAGGGGCATTTTTAAAGGACTCTGTGGCTGGCTCTCAGTCAGTGCTCAGCAAGAAAGCAGCTCTACTGATTTGTTCTTTCCCAACTCTTCAGGAGACCAAGCTGAGAATGAAGCACAGTCTTCGTTGGACCTAGATGAGCCCAGCACCAGGGCAAGCCTGGAAGATATTGAATTTGGCTTGGACTGAACCCCAAGGCGGTCTACTCTGTTAGGCTAGCAGTGAAGTGGACGAAGGGCACCCTTTCCTGTGTATCACTGCTGGTGCACTTTGGGATCCTGCACAGCTTTTGCTCTGCAGCCACATCTATGTGCCTTGTACCCAATGCATCAGTTTCCCTGGTTACAGATCCCATGGTTACATAAACACTTTAAGACCCACAGTCAGCATGTTACTGAGCTAACAGTCAGGCTCCATTCTGAGACTGGGCTGTGTGTGTGTGTGTGTGTGTGCATCCCCAAGGTGGAGGAAGTAGGACTTTACATATCAGACATGGAAAGGTACAGAGACATCATCTTCTCTGCTCATATGACCATCCAGCTCATGGCCAGTGGACAGGTATATTCAGTCACCGAGCCAGAGGCAAAGCATCAAGTCCTGCAGAGCCTATGTGGACTGTCACACAAACAACCCACAACAGCAGCTGCCCACCAACATTGTGCCACCTTAGGAGGCCCCCAACACCATTGCCTTTAAGGACAGGAGGCTAACACTGACACAAAGGCTCTACTTCTCAGCAACTCCAGTGCACTGGGGCGTGTACTGCCCCCTGGCCATGGCTGCTTCTGCTGTTCCATGTAGCCCTGAAAACAGCAGTGGGAGAAGGTAGGGATGGCCTACACTGGATGAGTGGGGAACTCTGGACCTATAGGGTCCCTGCATCAGTGACCCCAAGGCAGCCTCTGCAGCCAGAGCTCTGGAATAACCTGACATCCAACACTACACAGACTTGTTCCCCATTCCTTCAGATGGGCACACTGTCCTTGGGTGGTAGAGGCTTTGCCCGGGGGACCATGCTGGCTAAGCTCAGTGCAAGCTCCAGGATGAAGGCTAAGTTTTCAAGCACGTCTGTCCACACTCAGAAGCCCATTCGTGGCTTTTTCCGGGGAGGATGGGAGCCAGAGAGGACAGGTGTTTGCCGCCTCAAGGGTGTGGCCTGGAGGCTGGAGGCCTGGGAGGGAGGTGTAGCCACAGGTCCTGGAGTGTCCTTCTGAAGTGGCAGCTTGGCCATATAGTCCCGGAGGGTCTGTCGTCGTTCACGTCGCACACCTTGGGCCCACGGCTCTTGTGTCAACTCCTGGGAGGGTAAGGTCCCTGGGGGCTGAGGCCAGGCCTCTGAGGTAGCAAGGTTTTGGCTACAAGGGGGGCTACTGGTGTCTGGGAAGTCCAAGCAGCTCGTGAGTGAGGAAAAGGTGCTAGCCAGCTGAGTCCGGCGCTTGGGCCGCTTGATCTGTGCCTGGGACCCTGAGGTCTGACCTTGAAGCCTTTTCCACCAGGCGGCTGCCCCACCTTCCCAGGCTTCTGCCAAGCGCTCTGTGAGCTCATCCTGCTGGCTGCACTGAGGTGCAGGGGGCAGCTCTGCCCTGGGGAGTGTACCCAGATCCTCAGGCCGCAGGAGCTTCCCCTTGGCCATAGCTGATCGGAGCTTCTGTGACATGGTCTGACTCTTCTGCTGCTCCACGTGGCCCAGAAAACGGCGGTGGGAGAAGGTGGGGGCGGCCCATACCGGACAAGCCGGGGATAGCTCCATCAGAGCCTCCACCCATCGTCTGCAACGGGCACTAGCCTGAGGGGTCCAAGAGGACTGGTCCACAGAAGGTGTGAGTGCCCTGGGTGCAGGGCACTCTGATGCTAGGTGATCAGGTGGCTCTCCTTCTCCAAGACTGGAGGCTGCCTGGAGGCGTAGTTGCTGGTAGAAGACATCCCCAGCTGCTGAGAGCTGGAAGAGCAGCAGTGCTGGGGCAGAGGCACACGGTGGGGCAGCAGCCAGACCTAGACAGGGAAGGAAAAGAGATGCAGGGTCTGGCAGTACCTCCCTGCAGCAGCCCCAAGCCCCTTCTGCCCATCGCACCTATGACTGGTGCCTCCAGACGCTCCTGCAGCTGCTGCTGCCTCTTGGGTTCCAGTAGAGGAAAGGCAGGGAGGGAGTCGATGATGGATGGCAAAGACTGAGGAGGCCCTGCCAAGTGGGGCATAGAAGTCCCCTCTCCTGAAGGAAGGACAGAACTAAGTATACCTGCCCCAGCCCCAGCCCCAGCCCTCTCCACGAGCCTCCCTCCTGCTGGCTGACCTGCTATATGCAGCAGCTGAAGCTGTCCACCCTGGCCCCCTAGTAGCAGGGGCCACGGGCTACCAGGGCTAGCTGGGGGTAGCAGGTGGGCAAGCAGAGGTGCAGATGGCAGGCCGTGGTCCCACTTGAGCATTGGCACCAGGGGGAGGCGCTCATCCATCAGGTAGATCGAGAACTAAGGAAGAGGGAAGGGGTGGACATGGCTGATGCCTGGCACCAATCTTCCAATAACCCTCTCCAGGCCACACAGTCTGTAGGTGGTACCCAACACTCAGAGGAGGGCACTCCCATCAGCCTTCAAGCTTGGCCTACCAAACTTGGAACACGTATATTTCCTGGGCAGACAGCACCATCCCAGAAGTGTTCTCATTAGAAGCATGAAGAAAACTTTGCTCCCAATGGTAAACTCTCATGCCACCTGGGACCCTGAGCAACAGTCAACCTCTGCCTCCTCCCAGGTTCTGATCTGATTTTGCAGATGACCCAGTTTGCCTGCCTTAGTGAGATCACATGCATGGGGACCCAACACTCCCCTGTTCCTGTGGCTGTGTATCAGGCTGGTTGGCAGATGTTCTGGAGAAGCCTGAGTCAGAGCCTAAAGAGGAGGCTGCTTCTTACCTGGGTGCAGATGAGATGCAGAGGGGTACAGGTGGGACCTGGCTGCCCGAGGTACTGGGCAAGCAGCACCCGTTCTCCTTTCTGGCAGGCAGCCTCTGCTCCAGCACGGAACAGCAGCAGCCCACAGCCTGGGGGACCCTAGGGAAAGAACAGCACAATCAGCCAGTCTTCAGGCTGGAGATGGGCCTCCTACAGCCCATGACTTCTGGCTCTATTGCTTCTTGACCCCTCTCACCCATACCTGAATGTCAACCATCTTCAGACCCGTGCGGTCACCCACAGTCAGCACCCGGGGATGAGCAGTGAAGTCTACCCAGCGCCAGGGAGAAGGATCACGGAAGGCAAGCGTCTCAGGGTCCTTGTAGACCAGCTGCAGCCTTGAGGAAGGCAGGTCATGGGTATGGGTATGGTGGGGCTTGGGGGCACAAGGGTGTTGGGCTGGGCTGGAAGGAAGACTGAGCCATGGAGCAGAAGGCCATGGTTCTGCTTTGGGGTGGAAGGTTTTAGGGGAAAGGAGAATTACCCATCTTGTGGGGTCCATAGACACACAGCTCCAGAACGGCTGCAGATGGCCATCTCTCCTGGCAGGTGAGGGCTACAGGGCACAGGACGCTATGTTATGTTATGATCCAGCAACCCAGCACTTCCTTCGGGCCCTTATCCTTGCCAGGAAGCCAACAAACTCTCACCTGAGGCTAACACCAGTGGCCCCCTTTTCCACCTGCAGTACCTGCAGGGATGCTGGTGGCCCCTGCTTATCAGTCTTCCATATGGCACAGTGGTAGTCAGAGCGGACGGCCAGAAGTGCTGGGGAGAACAGAAAGGTCAGACTTGGAGTGTGTGTATAGCACTGGCTGGGATGGTAGCCAGCTGGACAAGAAGGAAAAGGGGAAGGGAGAATGCAAGGGAAAGACTCTCACTTTCTCCCTGGACAGTGCTGGTCACCACCTGCCGTACAGGTCCCCGCAGCTGGATGTGCCCGGGGTCCTCAAGGACCCTGAGATTGCCACCTGAGTTCACACTGACCTCCTGGAAATCTGAGCCCCTGGTTAAGGACTGGGATGGATTCTTGTCACCCGTCTTAACTCTTCCCCTGGACCACTCTGTGGATGGCCTCAGGATCCCCACCACATGAGAAAGGATACTCAGCTTGTCCAAGGCACCTCCACTAGGGTAGACCAGTTGTCCAGCCCGTGCTGTCCTTCCAGGAAGCCAGGCCAAGGCACCCCCAGTGAAGGCCTCATCCAGCAGCAACTGCTCCCACCGCATAGCCAGCTCTTCATGCAGCAGCCTCCCCAAAAGCAATGACACTGAACTGCTCAGGACAGGACCCCCAAGGATGGAGAAGCGACGTAGTCGGTGGCTAAGGAAAGCCCAAGGACACCTAGGGACAATGCAGCAGAGGATGGTACTGGGACAGTGAAGGATAAGCAGTCTCTTTGACAACTCCCTAGAAAACACCCTACCCAGTTCCTGGACCCCATACCCTGAATATTTCAGGACCTCCTAGTGAGTGGGCCACAGAGAGCTGGGAGGATCCAGCCAGACCAACCAGTCTTTTCTAGGATTTGTGATACTTTGGATACTAACTCCTTGGAATAATCCTGTTGCTACTTGAATTAAGTCAGACAGAAGGAAGTGGATGAGAAAAGAGAGCCCTGTAAACATTCTGAAAACCTGGATGAGCTGTAACTAAGATCAACCAATGACCGATTCTTTTTTCCCTTAAGCTGCTTGAAGCTGGGTTTTGTGGACTCGTGGCTCATGACTTTGGGCTGGGTTAGAAAAGCCACTGTGATGAAAACCTGGTCTGTGTCCTAGATCCTTCTACATCCCACCACCAGCCAGGCCTATCCATGGCTGCTTTCTCACTGGCTACTTGCCCCCAGGGCTGGTGTCCACCGAGGTCCTGAAGCAGCCTCTTCGCGCTGACTATGGTCATCTTTTTCGAGTAGCCCTGCAGGGAAGGTCTGTCAGGTTTGCACCCCTGGGTCTCACCAGAGAGGTGGCTGACCCTTCACCCCATGGCACTTACTCACCTTGTTCCCCTCCAATCTGAAGTTCTCCAGCATGAGCCTCCCCAGGGGTGTGAAGGCTATGTCCCCATGGTCCCACAGGAAGCGGCTGAGCTGTGGGGAATGGTTGTGTCACTCAGCACAGCCCAGGCTGTGCAGCACAATCCCACCCAGGGACCACTTACCTGCTCAGTGACATCCAGCCCAACCTGAGGCCGGAACTGGTAGCGGTGACCTCCCCGGAAAAGGAGGTCCCGAGGGGTCATGCCAGGTTCCCAGGGATCTAAGGGGAGAGAGAGGTCAAAGAAGAACCTGAGAAGGCAGCATGGAAACACAGTGATATATGGAGGTATCCAGGATCTGGAATGTATGTGTGTCTGATGGCTGAGGTCCTTGGAGGGAACCCAGAAGGAGACCCTTACCAGGACCAGGAGGCAGCAGGGGGAGGGGTCCTGGTGTTGTTGGCTCCCACAGCAGGTTCTTGGCCAATGGCAATGTCCCATCCTAGGGGAACAGGACAGCAATAACATGGCAGGGGTGCACTCTTTGACTAAAACTCATTCAGTCCTCATGACAGCTCTGCAAAGTTGGTCACTTCACTGATGTAGAAACTGAAGCAGCTGGGTGGTGGTGGCGTACGCCTTTAATCCCAGCACTGGGGGGGGGGGGGGGCAAAGGCAGTCGGATCTCTGAGTTTGAGACCAGCCTGGTCTACAAGAGCTAACAAGTTCCAGGCCAGGCTCCAAAGCCACAGAAAAACTCTGCCTTGGAACCCCCCGCAAAAAGAAAGAAACTGAAGCATAAGTTTGCTGTCATTTGCCCCAGGTAAGAGTCAGGAAAGAAGGCAGGGACTTAAACCCAGGCAGCCAACTCCAGAATCTGTATCCTAAAGTCCATTCACACCAGCTTCCACACCCATGCCTTGTCTGTGCACCCAGAACCCAATGAGCTAACTCAAGGTCCAAGAACACCCCCTCCTTCAACACCCCCTCTTTGACCCACTCTCCTGTATGTTGATAAGGGAGGTCCTTCTGTGTATATGTTTGTCTTATTGGTTGGTAAATAAAACACAATTGGCCAATAGGAAAGCAAGATAGGCAGGACTAGGAGAGGAGGAGGATTCTGGAAAAGAGGAGTCGCCATGTGATCCCCCAGGAAGAGAGGACAAGCATAAGGCCGGCATCCTTGGTAAGATATGTCCTTATAAAAATAGAGATTGGTAGTTATGGTTGATAATTAAGACTGAGCTAGCAGATAAGAAATCCCAGTCATTGGCTAGCAGCATTGTAACTAATATAAGACTCTGTGTGTTATTTGGGGGCCCTAAAAGGCAGCAGAACTCAGGCAGCTGGTGGAAAGAGATATCGTTACAGTATGTACTCAATTCCACAAGGCAGCTGGGCAGCTAACGAAGTCCCAACCAAGATGCCAGCAGAAATCCTGCCCCCTTTCCCTGCCATTCCACTGTTCCAGTAGAACCAAGGCCACACTACACAGTGTCTGCCTGTTGGTACAAACTCTCCCACCTTAACTGGCAGTCCCCAAGGTGGGGTTGCCTAACTTCCTCATGCTGGACTATTGGGCCTGTAAGGACCCTGGCACAGAAACACTAGTCAGTAAATACCAGCTGAATCTAGGGAGAGAAGGAGGAAAGAGGAGCCACAGCCTCTGTTGATCGACTCTCTCTGGGTAGCAGCGTGGCCTGTGCACAGCAGGAGTAGCATCTGCCTAGCCCTGTCTATCATCTGTGCCACTGAGTCTTAATGATAAGAGGGGGACCAAAGGAAATGCCCTATTTCCATCCTCACCTTGCAGTTCTGTGGCTGGGACCCTGGCATGGTCAGTGCATCTCTCCAGCTGCACATGAAGGACAGGTCAGGACCATCAGTCATGCCAAGAGGCCCCGCCATAAATAACGAGGGGCGCAGAGAGCTGGGGAAGTCCATCCTGGAGAAAATGCATCTAATGTCACACACATCTTCATTAGGAGTCTGAACAGTGCTACAAAGTCTACTACAAAGAAACAGGTAAAAACCAGACTATGCAGCCTAATGCCAGAGAGTAAGAAGGGCCTCTAGAGAACTGCTCACTCCCCCATCACAGGGGAGGTTGCTGATGGGCAGGTGAGGGGTCCCTACGGGTACTCAGGGAGACAGATAGCTCAGCACACATTTGGGTAGAGGGTCCAGGGGGAATGAGTGCGTGCAAAGGCTCTGAGGATCGAATAAAAGTAGGAACTCTCTAGAACAGCGGTTTTCAACCCTCTAGCACAAGGGCCACCTAAGACCATCGGAAAACACAGATATTTACATTATCATTCATAACAGGCTAAATTACAGTTATGAAGTAGCAACGAAAACAATTTTATTGTTGGAGGTCACTACAACTGTATTAAAGGGTCGCAGGCAACATTAGAGAGGCTAAGAACCACTGCTCTAGAAGCATTAGGGAGTAATCAGCCCACAGTTTAGAAAATTTAAATTGAACAACAGCACCCGCTGAGCACTACCACCAGCTGGATGCGGCATAAAGGTCCTGAATTTGAGGATCTGAGGAATCGGTGTGTGGTTAACTTGCTCACATGTGTGCCAGAGGGGAGACCCGGTCCCGAGACCGCCCGCCCTCATTGCAAGCGTCCCAGACCAGCCTCAGTGCTGGAACCCGCCTGCCCCTGGTTTCTGTAGCCTCGCGGCACCGCCACGTGCTCACATCATCCCCGCGCGCAGACCATGCTGGCTCCCGGCGGCAGTCTCACCTGATCCGGGGCCCAAAAAGGAGCCGGAGCGCCACTCATCAACTCTTCAGCTCAGAACTCGTGAGCATCCACAGCCGGACTGAACTGTTTTCCGGACCAGGCCGGAAGTGCTCCCGAGAAACAGGAAATCCCGCCCTCAGCAAGGCCTCACTGCGTTCTCCGGCGCTACCTGCCGGGCAGACAAGGAATAGGCGTGGTCGTGGCGCCTGAGGCGTGGAATTCCCATCCCGGTGTTGGATGATCCTGCTCTGCTTCATTAACTAACTATCTCACCGACCACCTCCGATGGGCCACGCACTGTATTTATTGTCCATAAATCCTAGGAATCCGCTTTTCATATGACCCTGGGCTCATGCGTGGCTTAAATCAGGGGCCAGGAAGGAGTATTAGGCTGTAGTCTTCAAACTCCAGCTTGCACCTGCGTGCTTTGGGAGACTTTCAAACTCAGAAGCAGCGAGTCGTGGGGGCTGCCTGCAAGTTGCTTTTGTCTTGTGCCTTTCACGTGAAACTTAGGATGTGTGGTTCTGCGGACCCACTAGGAAGCTAAGAATGTCTTCAGACAGATTTTTTTTTTTTTTTTTTTTTTTTTTTTTTTTTTTTTTTTTTGTGGTGCACACCTTTAATCCCAGCACTCAGGATACAGAGGCAGGTGGATCTTTGAGTTTGAGGCAAGCCTAGTCTACAGAGTGAGTTCCAGGACAGCCAAGGTTACACAGAGAAACCCTATGGGGGGGTGGGGGGGAGAAAGAAAAGAAACACAGGTTGTCCCGGGTGGTGGTGGTGCACGCCTTTAAACCAGCACTAGGGAGGCAGACAGGTGGATCTCTGTGAGTTCAAAGCTAGCCTGGTCTGCCCAGCAATAGCCAAAGTTGTATGGTGAGAACCTTGTCTCAAAAGAGAGGGAGGGAGGAAGGAAGGAAGGAAGGAAGAAAAAGAAAGAAAGAAAGACAGATCCTTATGTAACTTCAAGGTGAAGAACTTGGGGTCACAGAGAAAAACTTTCTTCCTATCAACACCTGGGAACTCAGAGCAAGAGTGGGTCCAATGCTAGCAGGGGAGGAATGAGCCTATTCACACCAGGGAGACAGAGGTCTAAGACCTGCATAGCTGAGACCCTACCTGAAAACTTCAGATAGAATTTTGAGACCTAAAATAGATGCTCCTGCTTCGCTATAACCTACCTACATGATGTTCCCTCCAATGTATTTGAAAACTGTTTTGGGGTTATGATTTCCTTTGTTCTGGAACTAGCAAAACTTCGCTAATCTGTCTCCTCCATGTAGCAGATTATCCAGGGAACTCTAAATCTGTGTTTCTGGGTGTTAGTCAGGGTTCTCTATCAGAACAGATGGATGAATATAGAATAGAGATTTTATTAGACTGGCTTACAGCTGTGATCTGGGTAGTCCAACAATAGCTGTCCATGACCCAAAAGGTGATGTTCAGTACATGAGGCTGGATGTCTTAGCAGTCCCTGTCTGGTGCTAGAGTCCTGTATGATTCCTGAAGAGCTATTGACTGTCTTTGTTAAAATTATAAAGAAGTTGGTTCGAATTTTGGTAAAGGAATGCTTCAGCAATGGCATAAATAAATAAATGGTCTTGCCAGAAAGAGTAAGGGCAAGTAGGAAAAAAAAATCAAAGTTTTTTCACACCCTTTTAACTGGACTACCACCAGAAGGTGTGGCCCAGATTTAGGGTGGGTCTTCCTTCTTCAAATAATTAAGAAAATCCCTCACAGGGGCCCAGCAGTTTAGGTCCCAATTAATTCCAAATGTTCAGTTGACAATCAATTTAGCCATCCTGTGTGGGCATGCTCATTCATGTTTAGCTGAAGAGTAAACTATCTTCTATTCTCTAATCATAGAGAGGAGGGCTGTTCTTAAGTCAACATATTTCTCATTCCCAGGCAATACAGGATTTCCCTGCATGTGACTTTAGCACCACTGTCCAGTCAGAAATAGCAACATTATTCTTGTGGCTTGATAGCTTAAGAATACACCAGCGCCGCCTGGAGGAGGCATGTTAAAGCAGTTTGCCTGGCCCACTTGAGCTTCTAATTTAGTGGGTCTGGGATAACACAGCTGACCCATAGCTAACACTCTGAGAAACACAGCTTTAACAGATCAATTTTCACCTGGTAGTGTTGGTGCACGCCTTTAATCCCAGCAATGACATTTGAGTTTGACTCCAGCCTGGTCTACAGAGTCAGTTAGGGCAGCAGCCAGGGCTGTACAAAGAAACCCTGTCTCAAACAACAAAAGGATAAATTTGTAAGGGATGTGTAGAGGTAGCTCAGTTGGTAGGGTGATGGCTTAGCTTGCACAAAGCCCTGGGTTCTAGTCCCAGCACTACATAAACCAGTGGTGGCTCACACCTGCAATCCCAGCAATCTGCAGAAGAGGCAGGAGGACCAGAAGTTCAAGGTTATTCTTGGCTACATAGCAAGTTGGAGGCCAGAATGGAATACATGAGGCCCTGTTTTGTTGTTTTTAAAAAGAATCAATTTGTAGATTGTCAATTCCCAGCTATACAGTTTGTATTTGGAAGGTGCCTGGAATCAGATGGCCCTTTCCATTTCCCTTTCACAGCCACAGTCACCATTTTCCCTCATGGAGTGCTGCCCTAGAATGGGTGCCAAATAGGAAGGTTCCAGGAGACAGCAGATGCCCTGCAGGAGGCCCTGGAAGAAAGCTCCATTAAGAGATGAGGATAGGAAAATGAGAAAGGGCTTTGTGAAATAACCAGTCTGCTTCTTCATTGAGTGCTGCTCATGTGGTGTTGCGTGCTGCTCCCCAGGAGTCTGTACGTATTCGCCTCAGTAAAGAAGGCAGTGGAAGCTCAAACAAATTATCCCATTGAAGTCCAGCTCAGTCAGTGAACCAATGAGTTTTGGAGGTTTTTTTTTTTTTTTTTTTTGCCTGGGTTTCTCTGTGGCTCTGGAGGCTGTCCTGGAACTAGCTCTTGTAGACCAGGCTGGTCTCGAACTCACAGAGACCCACCTGCCTCTGCCTCCCAAGTGCTGGGATAAAATGTGTGCGCCACCAACGTCATTGGAGTTGTTTATAAGAGGGTGAGTGATTCCCCAAATAGCAGCACTATCCAAAAACTCCATTGCAGAAGCTCCCCTGCCCTTTGGTTACCTTCCAACTAGTGTAGACGCTCCATCATCTGCTAAGGCCATCTGCAGCTGAGCAGGATTATGGGCATCTGGGGTAAGAGTGGAGGGAAGAGCTATAATTTCAGGTGAGGACCTGATGAACATCCCCACACCCTGCTTCTATGAGGGCACTTTAACAGGCTTGATCTAGGGAGGGTCTCATGTAGGTCACTTAGCTAGTCTCTTTTCAAGATGGGAATGGCCATACCATGCCCAGAGAACTGTATTCCACAACACAAGGTACATTCAGCACGAACAGTCTGTACTGATTTCTGTAGGTATGTTATAGTTTCACAAGTCACAAAAAAGAAGAAAATTGCATCAGTCCTGCTTGCCCCATTTCATGGATACTTTGACTGATTGGTTAGGTCACAGCTTATTTAGTTTTCAAGCTAGGAAACAGAATTCTGAAGATAAGGGTGGAATCTATCTGGCACAACCCCCAACATGTCCTAAACACCGAGTTGGCAAAGGAGAAAATGAGATGAGGTGGTTTTCTCAGGGCAATGTCAGCACACTTACTTATTCAAATTGAAAGATGACGGCAGACTGCTCCTGATAGGATGGGAGTCCAGCTTGGCACACTGGTTTGCCTCTGAGGACCAACTTTGCAAATGAGGTCATCTGAGGATGCATTTTTCATAAATGAAATGACCTAAGGCAACATTCCTATAGTTTAGGTGGAATAGATTTAGAAGGGTGATTATAACATAATAAAAAACAAGATATTTTGCCAACAACTTTGGGATTAGGAATTGGGGCTACCTAGATTTTTAAAAATTATTTTAGGGTGCATATATGCAAAACCACTGCAGACTATTCCTTTTGAGACAGGACCTTGCTGTATAGCTCAGGTGGCCTCAGACTTTCAAATCTCCTGCCTCAGTTCTCTGAATACTGGAATCAGCTGTGTACTCCTACGCCAAGTTTGAAGATCACATAAGTTGGTACCCTTGCCCCCTGCTGTGACAAGTTATCAAAAGTCTAACACAGTACAATTTCTTACAGTTCTAGACATCAGAGGTCTAACACAGACCCCCTGGGCCAAAATCACGCTATGAGCAGGAGCTTCTGGAAAAGGGGGAAACTACAGTGCTTTGCCTTTTCCAGCTTCTGGAAGCTTCCTGCATCCCACAGCACATATCTCCCTCCATCTGCAACCTAACAATGGCTGCTTGACTCTTCCTTGTGATACTACCTTAAATTCTCTTCCAATAAGGATGGTTGTGGCTACACTAGGTCAGCCTGGATAACCCAAGATATATTCTTTTAAAGTCAGCTGACTAGCTGATCAGTGGTAGCACACGCCTTTAATCCCAGCACTGGAAAGTCAGAGGCAGGTGGATCTCTGTGAGTTCAAGGTCAGCCTGGGATACTGAGAAAACTTCTGGACAGCCAGGGCTACACAAAGAAACCCTGTCTCAAAAAATAAAATTAAAATAGTCAGCTGATTAGCAAATCCGATCCCCCTTGTCAAATTCCATCACATATCCCTTGGCTCTGGACATCTTGGGGAGACCAACATTTTGCCTATCCCACCCGTTTCCTACATCACCCTTATAGACACTTATTTCTTCACAGATGCCAATTCCGGGTACTCCTGGCTTGCTTTGAATAAGTTGCAGTGTGATCTAGTAACATATACTCAACACTCAATAAAACAAATGTACATGCCTTTAATCCCAACACGTGGAAGGCAGAAGCAGGTGGATCTCAATGAGCTCGATGCCAGCCAGCCTGATCTACAGAGTGAGTTCCAGGACAGCCAGGACTGTCCCACAGGGAAACCCTGCCTCGAAAAATCAAACAAAACACCACACAATGCTGCAGTGTAAAACCTCATCAAATACTTCCGTGGTTATAAGCCATTGGCATCACCTTCCATAGCCAATATTATGTAAACTGCTCGCCCCCTTGCCTTCATTTTTTTTTCTTTCCCCCTTCACTTTAGTTCCCACACTTAAAATTTACATTTGTGTGTATGCGTGCCAGTGAGCATATCACCGCAGGTATGTGACGATCACAGTAAACTTCTGGCAAATTGAGTCTTTGCATTTAACATGTGGGTGCCGAGAATTGAACTCAGGTCCTTGAGCTTAAAGGCAAGTGCCTGCTGCGTCATCACGCCAGCCCTACCCCCACTCGTTTTAAATAACTGACATCTTGTGGTATTTTCCAATCCAAACGCAAGTCCCTCTGGGAAGCGGAGATAGGCAAGGGCTAATCTGGGGCGAGCTCACACTTCCGTTTGGCTTCAAGAAGGCCGGGTGGAACATTTAAAGTACCATACCAGGCTGCGAAGGGACAAGGACCCCCGTTCAGGTAAGGGGGCTAGGATGGACTGTAGTCTGGGTAGAAAGCCTGCAAGCCCTCAGCCTTCCACTCCTAAGCGTCAAGAGCAGAGGTGGACAGCCCTCACGAGACCTGCCCTCGTGCTGTGCGGATGGCGGGTGGCGGGTATGAGTCCAAAACACAGCTCTGGGAGGCAGGCTTCCCCATTGGCTGGTCATGGCATCCATCACAGCGCCGTGGTCTGTCATTGGCCGGCTCCAAGCAGAGGAGGAGTTCATGATCAGCTCTGTGCCACATGCTCCATGTAAAAAAGGGCGCGGCGCGAGTTCTGGTGCGGCCATGGCGAGCGTGGACGAGGGTGGGCGCAGGAGGCCTCGACTGGCAGCTTCGCTGCAGATCAGCCCTGGACCCTGGAGGCCCTCGGGAGGCCAGGAGCCCACAGAGGCTGGGGACGGGGCACCTGGGACCCCTGGGACACCTGAGACTGGGATGGCTAGGGGACAGGAGGCCAGTGGGGAGGCCTGTAAGGCCCCGGGGGGCTCGGTCCTGCGTGCAGAGCCCGCGGGCAACTTCCCTATGGCAGCCCAGGAACTCAGCCTGCTGGCCAGGGACCCGCCCCCAGTCCAGGCGGTGGCCCTGCTCACCCAGTGTGTGGCTAACCTGGGCGTCTCTCTGACCTTCCTGGAGGACCAGACTGCAGGTGGGGCCTGGGGCAGGTGTGTGTATGTTGGGGGTGGGTGATGAAGGAGCCACTAATTAAATGCAGGAAGGTCAGGCTCTCCCAGTGCTGAACTGGCCATGATGATCCTGGGAACTCCCAGGTGAACCCCACTCACAAAGGAGCAAGGCGAACAGCTTGAACAATCTGGTACCTTTCAAGGCTACAGTTAAGCAAACGTCTCCATCAGCCACCCCTGGTGAAAAGGGCCAGTTTCATGCAATCACAGTTGCCTGTGTTGGATACTGTACCTTGCTCATGGGGAGTACCACTGTCCCAAAGGGCTGCACACCTGAAGGAACTTAAGTGTGTTCTTATCCTTGGATCAGGTGACCCAATTCTGGGATTTTTAAAACCTGCTCTTGGGCTATTACACCTGAGATGATGGGGTTGAACCAAAAGATCTTTTCAGAGGAGGGCAAGAAGGAGAAAAATAAAAAGCTGAGTCTGGTGGCAGGCAGGAAGCTGTCTCATATGGGGTGGGGGAACTTCTCCCATGTCCTATCCTCCCTCCCCCAAAGTGCCTATTCCTCCTGTCATTCATGCTTGTTCCAGAAGGCTCTGTGAAAGTCAGGTTGAGTTAGCAATGGAGATAGCATGGAAAGACACAAACCACCTGCTGTCTGTAGAGTTCCCATTTAGTATACTAGAACCTCTTTGTTAATCTGGTTGTCATCTGTTGTCAGGTGTCAAGAGGAGGCTTAAGGGAAAGAAGGGGGCTAGGTTCATAAATCCCCACTAGAAATGGCTGAGATGGGCTGAAGGCCAGGAGACTTCCTTCCTCAAGATCTCTTCCCCAGGTCCAGACTCCTCATTCTCTGTGTGTGCAGAACTGGATGGGTTGGTCTGTCCTGCGGGAACAGGGAGAAGCAAGATGGAGGCCAAACAGCAGGCAGCACTCTCTGCCCTTCAGTACATCCGGAAGCATCTGGAAAAATCAGGTAGCTTAACTGGGGTGAGCAACTGTGTATGTTGGGTGTATGTGTGGTGTATGTATGTGAGTGTGTGTGTGGGGTGTTGGGGGTTGGGAGTGTGTAGGATGTAAGTGTGTGGGTGTATAGGTGTGGGTGTCTCTGGTGGGGTGTGTGTATGTGTGTGTGGTGTGGGGGGTGTGGTATGTGTATATGTGTGGTGGATGTGTGTGTGTGTGTGGTTGTGTATGGTGGGATGTGTGTGGTGTGGGGGGTGTAGTGTGTGGGTATGTGTGGTGGGTGTGGTTGTGTGTGTGGGTGTGTGGTTGTGTATGGTGGGGTGGGTGTGGGGAGGTGGGGTATGTGTGTGTGTGTGTGTGTGTGTGTGTGTCTGGTGGGGTGTGTGGTGGGTGTATGTGTGTGGGTGTGTCTGGTGGGGTGTGTGTAGGGAGGATGGTGTGAATGGGTCTACAGCCCCATTTGGGCATCAGCATGGAGAAATGTGCCCCCTCTGCTCTGATGTCCCACACTGGAGCCAGGGCGCACAAGAGCAGCTGCTGGTGGACTCTATGCCTGGAAGATGGAGACTTTACCTCCTCTTCTTGGCTTCCAAAATGATGGGAAGACCCAGGAACCATGCAACTAGCTCCTCTTGTCTCTTTCAGAGGCCCCTGTGGCTCCCCGACAGCCTTTGCTCACCTCGCTCAACATAGGTAGGTAGGCACTTTTCCAAAGCTTGGTGTCTGCTCTCAGGGCAAGAGGGAAAGGGTGGGGAAGCATGGCTTATGTGTCCTGCACTGTCCTCTGGTCACTGTGCAGAGAATATCCTAACCCATGAGCAGCGCTGTGCAGCTGTGGTCAGTGCTGGCTTGGATCGTCTACTGAATGAGAGTTCACCATACCAGGCCTGTAAGGGGACAGTGGCCGCAGTCATCCTGGAGAGGGGTAGGAGTTGCCCTGCCCCACCCTAGCTTTGCAAACAAGCTCAGGCTCCTGTCCTGAGTTTTCTGTCCCTTCCTGCACAGAGGTCCAAGGCACCATTGGTCACTCCAAAGAGACCTACGAGCTGGTGGCACTGGGTACAGGCAGCAGCAGCTGTGCTGGCTGGCTGGAGTTCTCAGGCCGAAGGCTCCATGACTGCCATGGTTTGGTCATTGCCCGTAGGGCCCTGCTGAGGTGAGGAGCAGGCAGGCAGGCAGGCGGGATCTGTGGCAAGCTGCCTAAGACCATTACCCAACCCCATCCCCTGCCTGTCATTCCCAGGTTCTTCTTCCGGCAGCTCCTGCTGGCCATAGAGGGGGGTCCCAAGGGCAAGGAGCGATCAGTGCTGGCTCCCCAGCCTGGGCCTGGGCCCCCCTTTGCTCTCAAGCCTGGGGTCTTCCTGCACCTGTATGTGAGCAACACTCCCAAGGGGGCAGCCCATGACATCTAGTACGTGTCCTGGGCTGGGAGTCCCTTGGTTTCATTGTGGGGGAGTAAGGGTGTAAAGAGTACCCTGATTCTGGACTTCTGCCCCCACCCCCTCCTCCACAGCCTCCCACTGGCCTCAGAAGACAATGTCTTACACAGACCAGCCTTCCGCCTGCAGGCCCATGTCTGTGGGCAGCTGAAACCTGTATCCTATGTGGCACCTGCCCTCCGAGATACCCATGTGGGCTGCCTCTCTGCCAGTGACAAGCTGGCACGTTGGGCTGTCCTTGGGCTGGGTGGTGGGCTGCTGGCCCACTTCCTGCCACCACTCTATGCCACCAGTCTTGTCCTAGGTGAGGGGCACAGAGTGCTAGGGCAGACAATAGGCTCTGGGTGGTGTGGGAAATGTGGTGACTTCAGTAATGTCCTGTGCTTTCTGCCCACAGCTGACCCCTGCCATGACCCCCCAACTCTGAACAGGGCCATTCATTCCCGGCCTAAACTGGACAGTGTCTTGGGGTCATGTCTTCCATGTCCATATGTCCGTACCACATTACACCTGTTTACTGGGCCCCTGGTGGCCCCCTCCGACCCTATGCCCAGCACCTGCCATGGCCTGAGCCTCAACTGGAGCCTGGGGGATCCTGATATCGAAGTTGTTGATGTGGCCACCGGACGTGTGAAGACTGAGTGAGGAGGGCCCTGTGGGACTGAGCCTTAGCAGGGAGCTCATGGGTAGGGAACCCCATCCCCCTGCAAGAGGGTAAGAGCACTGTGGTAGCTGGTAACACAGGCACTATGAGTAGGAGGAGATTGTGTGAGTGGCATGGGCAAGCCTGCCTTCTCTTTCCTAATGATCACTACATGTCTTTTCTCAGGGCCAGCATTGGGCCCCCCTCCCGCCTCTGTAAAGCAGCCTTTCTCGCAGCATTCCGCCAGGTTGCCAGAGCTCTGGAGAAGCCACAGCTCCTGTCTCTGAAGACCTATGAGGATGCCAAGGTGGACTTCCTTTCTCTCCAGCCCTTTCCTCCACCTACAACACTCTCAGTAGATAACTTACTTACCCTGTTCCCTCCCCTCCACCCTAGGCTGTGCCCTACAGGGAAGCTCGCCAGCAGCTGTCTCTCCTCCTGGACCTGCAGGGCCTGGGGGCCTGGCCCTCAAAGCCACTGGTGGGTAAATTCAGACACTGAGCCAGACTTCGAGGGACAAGGACCCTAGTGGACTTGGACCTCCACAGTGGGAGGACAAGGACATACTGGGGGCCAGCCAAGGAGAGGTGGAGAGCATAGTGGATGGGGGCAAGGCTAATGGTGAGGAGGGAGCTGCAACACTGATAGCTGAAGAGTGGAGACTCTTGTGTGTCTGGTTTGAATAAAGAAATGCTCTCTAGCAGTCTGTGTTTGGGTATATTGAGGTAGTGTGTCATGGGGAGCCTTTCATGCCACCACAGTGGGAACTCACTTAAGACCCTGCCTTCCAGAACTACTCTGTTGGTGTCCCATTTAGAGACCTGAAAGCAGACTGGGGAGGGCCTAAATGCTGGGGCAGGTCCAGGTGAGGCAGGAGAGCAGGTTAAGAGCTTTTTTTTTTTTTTTTGCCTGTGAGGCCCGAATCCCTTCCTTTCTGAGGCTTAGGCTTGGGGAGCTAGGAAGAAATGGGTCCTGTCATCTGGTCAGAGGCATCGCTTGTGCTGACACTTGTGTTTTGTGGGTTAAGTGCTCATATTGAAGGATGCAGGGTGGCAGCAAACACCAGTAGTCCTTTGTCTAGGTCACCTGGCTGCAGAAGCCCACTGCCCACTGTGGAGAAGCCAGCACTTTTCAGTTGCAGAATGAATGCTGCTTCCTCCCTTCCATCCAGGGTGTCACAGTGGATGCAGGAAGATGGCACACACTGCAAATATGCCTGTAGATGCTGCATCTACAAACCTTGTGGCCTTGCCACCCCCGCTGGGAGCACACCAGCTTTGGAAGTTCAGGGAGCAGGTGTTGGCCCCACACCCCAGTCCAGAACTCTGTATCCCCCTCCTTTCCCAGTTCAAAGCCAGAGTGCTATCATGGAGGGACCCGGTGAATCTGATCAATCTGATGTTGATGTCTAGTGTTCTGTGGGAACATGGCCTGCTATGGGATGCACACATGTGTCCTGGGCATCTGAAGCAATTCTGGGGAGCAGCATTTGACTCGGGGTGGGTGAAGAGGAACATCTGCAGGACATGGCAGAATGGAACAGCAGTGCTAAGAAGGTATGAACGGGCACTCTTCTCAGGGTATGGACACAAGTGCTTTGGTTCCTGGGCCTGCCGATTGGAACCAGGACTTAGACCATTGGTACTCTGGTTCTGGCTGTGGGGTTAACCTGGGGCAGCCCAGGCATTCAGATAGCCAATCAGATGACTCTCCAGCCTCCACAACAGTGTTGCCCATTCTAACAACCCTGTGACTGTCTTGTAGGCCTCTTGTCCTATGTCTCTGTTGACCATTAACCGATGACTCTTACCAGAGCTGTCATTCAGGGCCAGCCTGGCCTTTCTCTCCACCCTGTGTCCCCATGGTCAGCCTCTGAGCCTGCGTGCACACTGGTAGACTTGTGGAGAGAGATGCCAGTCCCTGTGTCCAGAGGTCACACATCTGCAGAGTCAAATGGCAGCAGATCAAAATACCTGTGGTAGAAAAATCCATGTGTACCTGATTCATAGATTCCATGACTCCCTGAATGACCCAACATGACCTCTATATATGGTTCACGCCTCATTCTGTATTAAGGTGATTCTGAGAGGCGCTGAAGCATGCAGGAGGGGAAGCTCCATAGTAGAGCCATATGCCAGGTCTAGTTCCCACCACGCCAGATTGTGCATAAGTTATGTGGGAATACTGTGATATATTTTAATATTTTTAGTTTTCGCTTGATATGTAAAATTGATTGGAGCCAGGCGTTGCTGGCACACACCTTTAATCCCAGCACTTGGAAGGCAGAGGCAGGTGGATCTCTGAGTTTGAGACCAGCCTGGTCTAAAAGAGCTAGTTCCAGGACAGCCTCCAAAGCCACAGAGAAACCCTTCTTCAAAAAACAAAAAAATAAAGTTGATTGGTTGGTTGATCCTCCCCTCCCACAGCCCTCTGTCCACATGTTAGGCTAATCCTCCCACCTCACCCCTGCCCTGGCTTCACTTCCTCCTCCTGTTGCTTGTATTTTGGGGTTTTGTCTTTTTAACCCTTCCCTAAGCAGACCTTTAATCCCCCTGGGATTGAAAATTCCCACAGCTACTAAGGAAATCAGTACAGTGGGTTTTTCTAAAAACAACTTCTGTACACATCAGCCATGCACTCCTGAATATTTGCCCAAGAGTCTGAGTCCTTCACAGAGGGACCTGCATATCCAGGTTCATCGCTGTTCTATTCACAATAGATAGGAAACGAGCCAGTCTAGATGTCTGTCAACTGAAGAATGGATAATGGAAGAGCAGTACACAGACACCATGAAATTGTGTGTAGCCAGAAAGAACAATGAAATGGCATTTGCAGGAAAATGGGTGGAACTGAGAATTATTTTAAATGAAGTGTCTCTGCCCAGATCTAGAAAACAAATACATGCTTTGTGTGTGGGGGAGCATATGTGTGCAGGTGCAAGGGAGACTATGGGCTGACACTGGATGTCTTCCTCAATCACTTCCACCATGTTTTGAGACAAGATCTCTCATGCAGTCCTGAGCTTCTGTGACTGGTCTGGGCTGGCTGACCATTGAGCCCCTGGGACCTTCCTGTCTCCACTCCCCAGTGCAGTCACTGCTACAAAGCTTTAATTAAAAAAAAACACTAAAAAATTGTACATATGGATAGATGGATGGAAGGATGCAGGGGAGCATACACATACCCTCCCACAAGTGGAAGTCAGAGCAGTTTTCAGAAAGCGGATTCCTACCATGTGGATCTGGGGAATTGAACTTAGGTCATTGAATTTGAAGGCAGACACCTCAGCCTACTGAACCATCTCACTGGACCTAGGTGCTGGGGACTGCGCTTAGGCCCTCATGCTTGAGCAGCACTCTGCAGGACAGATGTGGTCATCTCTGGCAGGCCTTCTGGAAGAACACAGTGAGGGCTGCCCACTGTCCATACTCTCCCATCTTTGTAGCTGGCCAGGGCTGCTGGATTCTTTTTCATGCTCTTGAATTTGACTCGCCCTCTCTGAGCCCTATTCTGCTGACCTATAAAAAAAGAGAACCGGATGAGGTCATTGCTAGTCATCTCCTGGCTCAGCTGTCCCTGCCCTTGCTCTGCAGCTCCTGGCTGCTGTGGAGATCAGCATCCCCTGCCAGTCAGGTCCACATGCTTGGGGAGGTCACAGGTAGAGCCAGGGTCACCGGGGTAAGGAAAGGTCAGAGAGCAGGCAGGAGAGCAGGAAGGGCTGCAACAGAGAAAGGGCCCACATGGTAAAGTCCTCGGTGAGCCTTTTGCTGAGAGAGGGGACACAAGGAAGCTGGTAACCTTTTTCTTGTCACTTTTGAAATCCTTTCTCATGCTTATAATTTTCCAAAGATGAGAGTTCTGGAAACCCCATGTCTATTCATTAGCCTACTTACTGCCCACTATTTACCCCAGGAGACAACTTAAGTTGATTGACTATTCCTACTGTGGTGGTGATAGCGGCCAGGCCCAGAAATGGATTAACCACTGTGCTTCGGTTTTATATCTCCGAGCCTGTGGTACCCATTAATCACATAATCACTGAGTAAACAAGTTATTCAAAAATGACATTAACTCTGCTGTGATCTGCCAAGAAGTACTCTTTGTCCCTTCACTGTACCTATGGGCCTGCTGATCCTTCCCTCCCCAGCCAGTCTCTTCATTATACAGTATCTGCCTAGCTCTCTTCACTGGACTACTATCTCAGGGTGACAGTCTGTTGATGTCCTCTTGGCCTGATCCCCCTGGGTGAAGTTTTGCTGACAGTAGCACATTCAAATTGGGAGCTGACGTAACCTATTTCAGCACACTCATGCAAGGCTTCCTGGGTGCCTTCTTCAACACCCAACCCCCTTCCCTACAGCCCTAGCCTGTGGGAACTTTTCTGGACCTCTGCAGGCTCTGTACCATGCTGTCTCTGGGTTTCATCTTCAATCCAGTGGCAGAGTGTGCACCTAGTAGAAGCATGGACTTGGGACCAAGGCTCTGCTTTCATGTTTCTCATATGGCAAGTGAATGTGAATTCCAGCCATTCAGGCTGCAAGCAGATGGTGGGATTCAGCCAGGAGTAGATGGGGCTGTTCTTGGTTCCTGACTGTCTTCTGGTCCTGTCTGCCATCAGTACTAGAGGGGAGACGGTTCATGTCATTGGCAGAGCACAGACAAGCTGTGAGTAGAAAACTAGCATTGGGTCTCTTCACAGAAATGTGTCTGGGTGAGGACAGAACCTGCTCTAAACAGGACCCAGTGGGGCTGGGACACAGCTCCATATGCAAAGCACATGCAGTGCTAGGAGGCAGAAGCAGGAAATCCCTAAGACTCCAGCCTAGTCGAATCAGTAAGTGCCAGGTCAAGTAAGAGACCTGGTTCACAATAGAACTGGGCCGAGGTAGACTTCCCAGATGCCCCTGCCTTGTCTCTCTGTCCCCAAGCCCATCTCAAAGTACTAAACGGGGTGTTCCATCCAGTATGGACCAGTGTATGTCCACTCCCTAACTAAAGGACATCTCAGCAATTATAAAAGTGCTGTAATCATCTAGGCCAGGACTTTGTGTAGATTTAAATTTTCATCCCTGGGCCCACAGCTTGTTTTCGTGGGTTTGTTTTGTTTTTGTTTTAGACAGGATCTCACTATATATTCCCCGCTGACTTCAAACTTGTGGTGATCCTCCTGGCTCTGCCTCCTAGTGCTGGGGTTGCAGCCGTGGACCTGCACACCTAGTTTCCACAGTTCTGGGAATCAAACCCGAAGTTTTATGCACACCAGGAAAACTACCAACTGAGCTACATCCCTAGACACTGGTTACTGTTAGAAACAGCTTTAGCTCTGCAGTCCCCAGATGGTGAGGCAACCATCTGGGGCACACATGTGATGAAGGAGCTCTGGGGGTCAGTAAGGAACCAAGAGGCTAGAGCCACACAAGCTGGGCTTAATTCCTTAATCCATAACCTGATGATCTCAGGATATCTTTGTGATTCCATTTCCTCACAAAGCAGGAGGAGGCTGTGGTGAAGTTAAGTGATAAGATGAGAAGACATGGGGCCAAGCATCCCTAATGGGCACTGTGGTCCTCATCCATGGATACCACCCACACTCTCCCCTTTCTTAGGGAGCAGCTCACTGTCCCCATTGTCAGGTGTGTGAGTCTATCTTCTGCTTCTGGGTGAGCCTAAAGCCTCATAAACCAATTGGTGTCACAATAGGCAGGGTTTATTTTTATTTTTTAAAGATTTGTTTATTATGTATACAGTGTTCTGCCTACACGCCAGAAGAGGGCACCAGGTCAAATTATAGAGGGTTGTGAGCCACCATGTG